TTTATTTTATCTTAGCAGCTGTGCCTGAAGTCAGCGTTATTCAGATGGGGATTTTCAAGCTTTGTTGTGTTTTTCAACTCGACTATGCTGTCAAACATAAACCCCAAATTTAGACTCAAATGCGGGGTGGATACAACCGGAAGTTTTAGGGAAAGAAAACAATATGAGAGAAAATTTTCTAAGTTTCATTTAGCAAAAATAAAAGTTAAACACAATCTTCCTGAAGCCCCAGCAACAGCAGAGAGCCACAGCCCTGAATGTCTAAGGGCAAAAAGCTGGAATATATATATCCATCCATACATGTGTGGGTAGGGAGAAGCATCATAAATGGAAATGATGGGCATTTCTGTGGCTATAAAAGATGAGGGTAAAGCCCACGAATGCTTCTCACCACTATGGAAATAGGGACATTGGAAATTCTGTCTAATGTGCCACCATTTGATCTAGAAGGAATAATCTCCAAGCTTGCTCATCTCCAATTTCCTTTATTTTTGTATCATTTGTCTTTCAAGGGGCACAACACAGTCCTTAAAGTGAAAACTCCAGGCGAGAATTGTGGTTCTGACATATAACTACCATTTAAAGGGAAGAGAGGTGAAAAAGAAAAAAGAAAAAGAATCATTTTTTTTTTTGTCTCACGTGTGAATAAAACAAGTTTCTTTAGTAACAGTCAATCGTGTATAAAACCTTAACTTCTCTGGAGCTATTGTGTCAAGTGTCTCCGTTTCCAGGATTGTTTGTTCATGGAGTGGCTGCAGCCCCAAGCACAGGTCAGTGCTTCCTGTACAGACTCACTTAATCCCTCTAACCCTGTCACTAAGGCCTCCACTTCCAGATGAGGATTACCCGGGAGAGGGTAACAATCCTACTTAGTGCATTTCAGAGCTGGGATTGGCCCAGCTCTCCTCCTAACCATCTGCCAGTGCCAATCTGCTCCTTCATCGCTGTTGATTCCTGTCATTTTCATCTGAAAGACTCCTGATTGATTAACGGAAACCTTCAGCCTGGGCTAAGTGGCCGCTCACCCTCCCCAGCACTCCCTGTCCCAGCCTCAAGTCCCTTAGAGTGGTACCGAGTATGGGGCTCATTGGCCAGCCAATCTAGTCTCTGCCAAAAACTTGAGATGAAAAATTATAGGTGACAACATAAAGACGTGGGATACAAGGATGAAGGTGAGTGGCGAAACTGAAGACGAGGGAAGCTTTCTCCAAGGTGCTTAGAATCTGGTGAGGTCATTGTGAATACAACATTGTACACAGAACAACACAGCTCTTGCGTAAAATGAAATAAATTGCTCTCTGCTCTTCATGGCTGGGACACTCATCAAACAGCTGAGAACTGAGTTTGTCTTTACCCAGAGACTAGGTTACCCTAACTACTTGAGAATATGTTTAAATTTATTTTTTATGTGCATGAGTATTTTGCCTGCATATATGCCTGTCATCACATGCATGTTTGATACCCACGGAAGCCAGAAAAGGGCATCAAATTCCTTGGGACGGGAGTTACAGACATATGGGCTGCCGTGTGGGTGCTGGGAACCAAACCTTAGTCCCCTGGAAGAGCAGCCAATGCTCTTAACTGCCGAGCTCCCCCCCCCCCCCCCCCCCCCCCCAGTCACTTTTTACTGAGATATGTTGAACAGCTAAGATCTGTTTCCTGGTTAATTTTAACTGGCGCAGGAAGGCCAGCCTTCCAAAGCTTACAATGATTTCAACCTTAGCTTTGCCCATTTTGTCTGTGGTTTAATTAATTCTGTAAACATTGTTTTTCTTTTTTTCCAAGCTTGTCTTGGTGATTCACTTGGTCAATATAAAAGATGTTTTAAAAAATAAACATCATTCTTCTCCTCTATGTAGCAAGAGCAGGAATGATCTTACTTAGCAGAAGTCCTGAGCATGAAGCTATTTTATTAACTATAGTGCTGTGATTTGCAGCACCTGGAAAGCCATACATGGGTATAGAGCAATGGAGACACCTACTGAAATTAATAATCTACAAAGAACACCCTGGAGACACGGGAGGAACCATGTCAAAGATAGACAAGCCGTGTGAGAGACCAGGAAACAGTTGTAATCGCCTAGGAAAGCACTGAGGACCCCAGGAAAGACAGACTCAGCGTAGACCTAAGGGAAAGGGGAGCTGGAGTCAGTGAGAAAGAAGAATGGATCCTGACTCAGCCGGATTCTAAAACATTTAGTTCCTGCTCGTTCCTTATCTCAGATTTGTCTGACTCAAGTTCCAAGAATAATCTGAACCAATACTCCCTGCTTTAAGCAATCACCACATGATCCTGTAATAGTTATTTCAGTGACCAAAGAATGTCCAGGTTCTCTGGTCAAATCTCCCACTCTCATTCCCATCTCCCTGACATCAGAAAAAAGTCTCCTCTCACCACATGTTATTTGAATAGATTCTCATCTTTTAACCCTAAAGGACACTGTCTTTTTGTCAAAGCCACAGAATTCTCTGTGGTCCTTGTGAGTGGTGACCAATTTTCTCCCACTTGTCATGTTCCACAGGGCTGTCAGGTGATGCACACAGCATTCTTGTTCTTTGCTGTGACCTCCAGACCACTGTGTCCTCCTCACTCTTCCTCAGCAGCTGCTTCACGCTCCTCTCACCAACTGTCTCTCTGAGTCAGCTTCCCGTTACTGTAACACATATCGGAGACAATCTGATCCAGGGCTGTTTTAGATCACACTTGGGAAGTTTCAGTCCATAATCTGTGGGCCCTGTTGCTTTTGGGCCTGTGGATAAGCAGCCTAGCAATTGACAGAGCACCGTCCACATAATGACCAGGAAGTAAAAGAGGAGGAGGACAGGGTGAGGACGTGCCTCCAGGGATTTAGAGATAGCGGGCTCCATCTCTAAAGGTCCTGCAGCCTCCCAGTAGAGCCATACCAGAATGTAAACCTCTATCATGGGGTCCTTTAGTGGGTGTATATATGCCCTAAACCATAGCGACTTCCCCCCAGACATCTGTACTGTGGTCTTGTCATTTTCTCTAGATGATTTTCATACTTCCTTGAAGACATCAGCACAGTTTTAGTGGCATGCTCCCTTAATTATCTTGCCACGATTCCTGGTAAGGTTAATACTACACGCATAGCCCATTCACTCCCACGACCTCTCCATCCATGAGCCTCTTTATCCCCAGTGAGCTCAGCTTCTACCATTGAACTTCACCCACTGCTCTCCACATTCTCCTCTTGTCACTTAAAATATCTGCACCTGCTAATCATCTTTATTTTAGACTTCCTACTCCTACATTTTCAGCTCTTGTCCCCTCATGCCCTGGATCTAAAATTTCCACTTTGCCAAGCACTTCGTTCTTTTGACCTTACTGCTTTTCACCGTATCTCTCCCAAGACTCCCTTTCCTCTCTCACCTACCTCAATTCCATTATCCTTCATTATAATTACTCCTTCAAATACGTTCTTACTTTTCTTGACTGTCTAATACTTCCAATGCATTATCCCCACCTGTCTTAGTTACTGTTCTACCACCATTACAAGACACCAGAGCAATTTATAAAAGGAAGAGTTTAATTGGGGGCTCTGGGTTCTAGAGGGTTAACGTCCATCACCATCATAAAGGAGAGCATGGCAGCAGGCAGGGATGGTGCTGGAGCAGTAGCTAAGAGCTCACATCTGATCTACAATAAAGAAGCAAAGAGCTAACTGGGAATGGTATGAGCTTAGGAAACCCCAAAGCCTGTCTCCAGGGACAAACCTCCTCCAACAAGGCCAAGGATTCTTCCCAAACCATCCCACCAACTGGGGACCAAGCATTCAAATATATCATCAGCCAATGGGGATTATCATTCAAACCATTTCCCAAATCCATCCTCAAATCTAGACTAGCTCCACCCGGTCATCTTCTTGTCTCCTGTCCTTTAGAATCTGAATATGTCTCAATAGAACCATGGTTATGCTCTCCCTAGATATTAAGCTATCCCCCAGTGCTGCCAATCAATTTTTATGCATGTTCTTAGTCAATGTCTTTGATTCACCTAGTCTCTTGTTCTCAAAGCCCCATCACCCTCTTCCTGCTTCACTGACCACGACTCATATTTCTTAAGGGAAACCACAAGCCACACAATCAAACACACCTCACTGCAGCTCTCCCCGTGTATTCCTCTTCTTCATCTGTGGTAATGGAGAAGGCGGCTCACCTTTCTGCTTGACACACCACCTTCTCTGTACCTTGGGTTCTTCTCCCATAACTACCCACAAGATGCTTTCTTACCCCTTATGTTTAAATTTTTCTCTCGCCATTGAATTGCTCCCATTAGCAAACAAAGGTCATTTCAAAAACTCCTCCTGTTCATATTATTTTCTCCAGGTATCGGCATGTTTTCCTGCTTCTCTCTACAGAAAGATGCTAGTCTTTGCTTTAACGTTTTGTCTTTGTAGGTAGCACCACCCTTTACCAATTACCTTTATTTTCCACTGTGGACAGCTCTGTTCCTAGGTCATGTGGTCACTTCTAAACCAGATCACTGTGTCCTAATAAACATGGCAGCCACTAGCCTAGCTTTGGTCATGATAAAATTCTCTGCCAGGGGCAGCATTGCTGTGATTGGTGGTCCCATCAGAAACACGGGAGAAAAGGAGAGGCCACAGAGGAATAATGCTGTCACCAAACAAAAGGGGATGGAGGACATAGGAAAACGACTCATGCCCACTGAGGTTCCTGAAGAGAAAGAGGAGCCTGGAAACCTGGGTAGCAAACAAGTCCAAGGAGCTATGACTAAGCTGTGTTTAGATCACAATCATTCCACACTCAAGAGAGTTGTGCCAATGCACTGACAATGTCTTACCCACTCATTCATAAAGTTTATGAAACATTAAGCAAAAATCGTAGAAGTGAAGATTAGAGAAAGGTAAAAGGAATCCAATTGTTATCTTCCAAGTTGGCAACACACGTCAGAAAGATCTGATTAATACCTTCAGTTACCAGTTTCATAAAAAACAAAACAAAACAAAACACTTTTAGTTCTTGTTTGGCAACACATTAAAAATTAGAACATTCAGAGAAGATTAGGATGGCCCCTGCACATGGATGACATGCAAATTTGTTAAGTGTTCCGTATTTAAAAAACAAAAAAAACCCCTTCAGGTTCCATTGTGGGTAAAGGTGCTTGCTACCAAGGCAGACAACCTGATTTATATCCTGGGACCCACAGGGTAGAAAGAGAGAATTGTCTCCTACAAGCTGTCCTCTGACCTCTATATGTGCACAGTGATGCACAGGTTTACACGCACATGCGCGCGCACGCACACACACACACACACACACACACACACACACAGAATTTTAAACTTATAAATTAATTTTCATATTTTCCTATAGACCCAGCATAGGAAGTCAACCACACAAATACATTCTAAAATATTCAAAAATTCATTGCCTTAAAAAAAATAAAATGGGTATTCAAAGTTTATTTGTAAAGAAGGTTTTGCTATATCATTTTTTAGTAGAAGGTTAATTGTTGATAATCAAATATTTTCTTTTTCAACTATGTTGTGCAACAAAGCAAAATGAATGAAACAGGAAGGGCCACCAGCTCTGCTGGAGGTCTGGAGAGGCCGACATCCTCAGAGCTGCCGCCTGCGTTTCTAAAGCGCGATGAGCTGTTTTTAATCCAGGCGTTTTAAGACTCTGGCTTGTTTAAAGGCTGCTAGCTGACTTCATAAGCAAAGGGATTGAAGCTAGAACTGCAAGCAGTGTGGATACAGCAGACAAATCCAGACCAGATGGCTCTCACTGCAAGTGGAGGGGGCTGGCGAGGAGGTGGCGTTATCTAGGGATCTCCCTCCCCGAAGTCTTCAAAATTATCCTCCTGACTTAAAGTCTTGAGGCCTGGGACTCCACCTTGAGCCACAGGAGTGGGCAGAAGACATGATTTCTTGGGACTACCCAGTACCTATTCCCCATACTGGTGACAGCATTGATTGTCTTTAAGGGGTATCTCTACAGTTGTCCTTGGAGCAACTTTAGATAGACTGATTCTAACCCTAAATTTGAAGGTAGTTATGAGACTCAGTCTTGGCCAATGAGAATACTGCACTCCTGGGTCTCAGCAGTTGGTTAGTGAGAGACACAAAAACCAAAGGGACATGAGCATAGGATTATGGAAGGAGAACTCCAAAAGAGACAGCACTCTGTCCCCTGACATGAGCCGATTGTTGGAGGCAGTTTATCTCTCACTTAGGCTAGTCACCCGGGGACTGGGGTTGTAAAAAGCCTTTTTGTCGCCTCCAGAGGCAGCCAACACCTCTCTCTCCCTCAATGTTCTCCAAGGATTCATTGAACTCTACAAATTTCATGTTTCTATAGAAACTCCTGAAGACAAGTTTCAGGAGACTCACGTTGCCCTAAGCATATGTGCAGCACCAACATACTGGCACTCGCACAGGCAGAGGAAAGAGCTATCTATTTGCAAAGACTCACCGGAGCTTCTTTTTATGTGGCCTCCTGGGAAGAAGCTGAATGGATGTTTGAGTTTTCCCATTGCATCAAGGCTCTAAGTATTGAACTCACTGCATAAACAGAAAAGAAGTCCTGTGCCCTGTAAAGATGTTACAGGTGCTGTTGTCAACAAAGATCTTTGAAAGGAATCCACTTGCTTCCATTCTTGGATATCTTCTGTGGCAACCGACAAAATGCTGAAATGGGAAGGAAAGGGTATGTCTTTTCTCTGAATACAGTCCCCCATTTCCAAATTTGGCAAGGTTCCATAAGCAGAGGGAGCAGTGCTGAGTAATAGGATTCATCCAGCAAGCGTTTAGGAGAAGCCTGACCTCTGTCTAGGTGTGTGCTTTGTTCCTTCTGATCATATATTCTGCAAAATCTTTAACGTGCATGACCATGAGTGACAGGTAGGGGTCACCTCAGGAACAGCAGTCCATGAAAAATCTGGGGCAGGCTACTCTAGCAAAGAAAACAGTAAATACAAGGGTCTTGATCCAGCAAGAGTGAAATTCAGCCGGGTGGTGGTGGTGGTGGCGGTGGCGGTGGTGGTGGCGGCGGCGGCACACGCCTTTGATCCCAGCACTCAGGAGGCAGAGGTAGGTGGATCTCTGTGAGTTCCAGGTCAGCCTGGAACTACAGAGTGAGTTCTAGGAAAGGCATAAAGCTGCACAGAGAAATCTTGTCTTGAAAAACCAAAAAACAAACAAACAAACAAAAAAAAAAAAAAAACAAAAAACAAACAAACAAAAAAAACCCACAATCAAACAAACAAAAAGAGTGAATGCTGCAGTAACAAATTATCAGAGACTTAGTGGCATACTAAGATACAGTGACAGCTTGTGGTTTGGAAGGCAGAAGTCCAAAATGGATTCATTGGACCAAACTCAAGATGACAAGGCTACCCTCCCTCCATAGAGGCCCGAGAGAGGACATGTTTCCTCACTTTCACTAGCTTCCAGAGGATTCCGGACTTCTTAGCTTCAGTCTGGTCTCCATTGTCCAAACCGCCAGGGTGGTGCGTTCAGATTTCCGTGACCCACCCTCTTCTTTTTCTTCTAAGAATCTCTGTGACTATGTTGTCACCCTCCCATACACACACACACACACACACACACACACACACACACACACACACACACTACCACACACACACTACCATACACACACACCACCACCACACTCACACATACACACACACCACCACACTCACACACACACTACCACACACACACACACCACCACCACACTCACACAACGCAGGGTATTTCGCCTACACAGGCTTCTTAATCAGATCTGCAGTCTATTTTGCCACACACACAGGATCTAGGTTTTTCAGAACATGAGTAGTTTGGGCAAGCAGAATGTGAAGAAGAAAAGCAATGGAGAGTCTGAATTTTAGTAGGTTAGGTGGAAGGGAATGTCCTCAGGGCAAGGCTCGATCTGATAGAAATGTTTAACAAGGTCGCTCCAAAGGTTGTTTAGACAATGGAGGTAGTGGTGATAAATTGGGAACAGGAAGACCAATTAGGAAGTTATTGCTGTGACATAGGGGGAGAGGACAACGGTCTGGGCTGCAGGAAAGCTGTTGAGCATCTCTGTGTTTTAGAAGTGTCCCTAGATAAGAAGTCTAACATTTCAGGGCAGTGCAGAGCTGGCAAGGATGTATACGAGTGATTCAGTGTAGTGCTCAACTTGACAGTGCTCAAGATGTGGTAGCTATGGTTTCACTCTACTATTGAAGTTATGTTTTCTAAAATTATTAGAGTATTAAGTAAAAGGAAGCTTAGAAATTGAGAAAAATGGAGCCCAGCCAGGAAGGGGAAGCAGTTTGCCCAAGGATAAGCTGTAGACATTGGATAGCTACCATGCACACTACATTCAAGAGAACAGAGCCAGAGCCATGAGTGCCCTTACATCTCCAGAAAAGGCAGCCCAGAGCTCAGCAGAAGTGCACACTGAGGCCCACACTGTGAGACAGGCAGACAAAGGAGAAAGAGGTGGGCTGGGGGAGGGGGTGGATGAGACAGGCTTGCAGATGGCACCCAAACACCTCCTCACTATTACAGTGCTTATCGGCTATTTGATTTGCAGCAAGACTCCTAATCTTTACTCATTTGTTTCTGCTGAGAATGATGGTAATATGACGCCACACCAGCCTGTTGTGCAGTTAGATGAGAAATTCATTTTGTAAGCTGCCAAGACCGTGATGATAAGCAGGATCATGCCTCTCCTCCAGACTCACCTGTAAGCTGCCAAGACCGTGACCATAAGCAGGATCGTGCCTCTCCCGCAGACTCACTTGTTTTCCATTCCCCTCCAACCCAAAGGCAGGAGAACACGGTGTTTTCTTGATTAGCAAATCTCATCTTTCCCAGGGTTCTGACCGAGTGACAACTCCCTAATGTCCCTGCCAGGATAATGCATTCCACCTTGTTCGTCAATTTCTGCTTCTGAGTCTGTCAATACTCCCCTTCACAAATTGACATTTCAACACAGCATGTCCTTTCTCCGACCATGTAATTCAGAGTTTTCATTTCTCAAAGCCCTTTTCTGATTGCAAATTCATTTGTTATAAACTGAAACTCAATGCAATAAAAATAACTGTACTCCTTAAAAAGATAGGGTAGATTTGAAGTTCTATGCAACTGAGAAATACAAGCAACTGAGAAATGTTTATAGCAAAGTCAATCTAAGAATATAGCTAGCTAGTGCATGCGTCCTTATATACTCCTTACATAACAGGGTGTGGAAAGGTATTAAAAGTATTAGAAATGACAAAATTGTGAGGTCAGGTAAGAGAACATAAACCAGTGCTGCTATGACCCAAAGGCAAAGCTAAAATGATGGCGGTATCTTTCAGCATTTACACAGCCAGGGACAGCGAGGCCAGCTCCGGGTGGCTTCTCTAATTTTTAAACTGCAACACCCTGCTCTGAAAACGACCTGATACCCTCTTTCCCATGGGCTTTGCTTTCAGCATGAATTCCCAGCTTCGAGCATATCAAATGCTGCCCAGGATTAGGCCCAGCTCCACCCAGGGGAAAGCCCACTAGTCTGTCTGGAAAGAAGTCAGCCATTCAGTATGTCTAATCAGACAGAAGTTATTCTCTGAGGAAAAAAGTTAGTGCCGCAGTGAATAGGAACAGACCGGCTTTATCAGCAATCCCAGGGCACTAGGCATTGTCTGGTAAACAAAAAGGAATTAGAGACACTGTGGTGGCATCATGAGATATAGGACGCAAAAGGCAAGACAAACGAACGTTTTGTGTGTGTTCGTGTTTGCTGGTGTTCCAAGAAAGGTTTTTGGGAAACAGTGAATCCTCTGTGAGTGAGTGGCTGGTTAGACCTCAGAGAGGAGGGAAAGAGCTGGCCCTCACAGGGGAAAGTTTACACTCACGGAGAACAAAGACAAGTCCCCTCCCGGCAAACCTTTCTTCCATGCTGGCTTTGTTTTTGGACGGGGCTCCTGGAACATTATAGACCTGTGAAGAGCTGAAAGAACAGAGAAAGATTTAAAAGAGAGACTAAATATAACAGGAAGTTCACAAATTGGTAGCAGGCCAAGGAACGGCTTAAACGGTATGATAAAGATCAACAATATTAGAATGTACAAAAGCCTGCA